CTTTGCGGCTTGACACCGCACTGATTGATGACATGTGTCGTGGTGAGGTGGTCTGATAAGGTGGTTCCGCCTCCGCAAGTCCTGGCAAGCCCTGCCGAGGCGTCTTGGGGGTTTTCTTTCGGGGGGTGGCCCCGTCCTCGCCAGGCTCACCTGCCCAACAAGGGAGGCTTTTCTCCTGGTGGCTTCTTACTCCTCCAGCTTGGCCTTGGTCCTCTTGATCTGCATGCTGGTCCTTTGAAGATCTTGGTTTCTTGTATCTTGATTCACAATCTTGTACTCACGCCTGTGTCTTCACTGTCCGTGCACGAGTCAGGGGAAAATAGATGCCCCTGTTTGTTTTCCCTGACAAACTTTTTTTGAAAATTGATGAACTTTTTCAAATATATGAACTTTTCTTAGAAACTAATGAAGTTTTTTCAATTTTGTGAACTTTTTCTTAAAAATTGATGAACTTTTCTAGAAAGCGTTGCTTGCTTTCATATTTATATTTTGTTTAAAAAAAATTATATTCTGGTTATAAGTTAACGTTTTACTAAAGGAAAGGTTAGCTTGGACTATTTTCTAGTATTATTCGGAACAAGTAGGATGGTCTAGTGGTTAATACGTAACACCACAAGTGATGCAGTGCTGAGTTCAAATCCCACTATCGCATATTTTCGATTTGGATTATTTCTATTTTTTCTTCCCGTTCTACTTTCAGTTGGTTGGTGGGCCGGCCCGCTACGCGCCGCTAGAGAGCGCTGGTAGAGCCAACTGGCTCTTAGAGCGCCGCCTAGGAGCTCCCGGAAGGAGGAGTCCTTCCCCTACTAGGATTCGGCCTACCCTAGAGGGAAATGAGGGACGCCTCCCCACTTGGGCCCTTGTGGCCCAAGTTGCCTTCCTCCTCATGGCCTTTTAAGGCCTATTGATATTTAAATTAATATAAAAGCCTTCTAATAATTACTAGACCCTTGTATATACAACTTAACATCACCGGAAAACATTTTCCACCTATATATTAATTATCGACAATACCCGGTATTGCCCGATAAACTCTCAAACCCTTCCGGTGGCCGCGAAACGCTTCTGGTTCCTCTCAAAACTATTTCGAATATTAATGAAACAATTCCACAAATAAATCCTTGATACTCTCATCCTACTAATAGTTAGAAAATCATGATTATCTTAAGCTTGTGACCCCGTAGGTTCGGTAAATCATAGACATGAACGAAACACCTTCGTTCAATGACCGATAGCGGAACTGTGGACGTCCATATCGATCCTTACGATTACATGAATGACATTCCGGTGAACCTTTGGTTATCATGTGATGTCCCCTTTGCTTCACGATACTTTACAATACTAGGGGTGTATCGGTATCATCCCGAGTCATGCACATGCTCACTATATTGTTGATCCCGTTGCCGGTATTGTTCTTCTTTCTTGTTGAGATGTTCCGGTATCCCCGTGACGTAGTCACTTGTGTCTAGTCAGACGATGATGGATGCCATAATAATCAGAGAGCCCTAAGAATATCTCTCCATCATCGGAGGAGCAAATCCCAGTCTCGAGCTATCCAGTCACTTGTCAAACTTTCCGATGAACCCATAAGTTGTCGTTATGATCACCTAGTTATAGATGATGTTTGAGCAACCCCAAAGCCCATTGTATGATAAGGAAGTGACCAAGATACTCTTAGGGTCTGAGGAACTAAAACACATGCTAACACTCTGTGTTATAACAATTGATTACAGACGATATTATCTGAATGTATAACAAACAAGATTGGGTCAATTCAATATGATCGTCTTCTAACATCATACTCTCATTGTTGTTTCAGGTCTATCATTACACTTCACGATATCCTGAGATCCGGAAAACATGATCACCAACAACACTTGAGCCAGTCTTAGAGGCAAGACCCTTATTTTACCGTTTATCATCTCACACGTGCGTATGAGTTTTCCACTGAATCGCATATTCTAGAATCATAGCAGTTATAACATGAAATATAAACTCTTAATTATGAAAATGGAGATATATTAATACAATATTATTACTTCTATGGCATATCTCCAACACAGGCGTAGCTCTTTTTGCAGAAAAGTGAACTGGTCTACAAAATAATTTCCCGCCATCTAGCACAACTGGTTCTTTCTCAGTGTTGGATGATTTTTAGTAATTTAATTTTAGTTGATTTATCTCTCGTGTGGTTGTTCATCAGTACAATTGTTTGATCATTTACCTCATGCATTTCTATCTGTGTTGAAATCATGTTCTGTTTTGTGTTGTCTCTCATTGTGCTTAAGATAGTTTGTTTATTTGTTCGTCGGATATTCATGTACAACTACTTAGTCGTTCTTCTATCGCTAGCTCTGATGGATATCTCGTAGTATTTCCTATTTTTTCATCTACTCTTTTTTGTCAGTAGTTTATCTTCTAATTGTACTACTTTTGGTAGTTTTATTCAGCTGTGCATTCCCGAGAGAATTGAAGTTTTGAAGGAAATGTTAAATCCCCCATTCACCCCCTCGAGTCGATATACTCGATCCTAAAACATGGATACCCGACCATCATGGGTAAGGTATGGGCTCATTTTTTACCCATGGGTAGTACTCGAACCCTATATGACTAGTCATGGGTATAATTATGTGTCCATGGGTACGCCTAAACCCAACCAACCGATCCTATAGGTGGGTTACATGTGTTATAAATCTAAACTACTGAATATCTGTATATAAATTGTGAAGAACTAGGCATCTATACTGTAATCCACTTCCATCCTCTACTCTCACTCCTCTAGTAGTACCCCACCCTCATCCTCCTCGCCATCACCATTTCCTCAACCCTATAAGCCTATTGATGAAGCCAATGGTCCTAACAACTATGTCACCACCCTTAAATGATGTGTTGATATGCCCGATGGGTACCCGTAGGGCATGGGCATGGATTTATGCTCGATGGGTAGGTATGTGTATGTTTTTAAGTCCATGAGAAACATGGACATGGGATGGGATTATTGTACACACACCATACCCTTCCCACTGCTATCCTTAGTAGTGCTTCAGCGTGTCCGCCTTCTGCTACAATCCTAGTTTCAATTCTGGCGAGCGTGCAACTAGATCTCTAAGTGGATGACCATGATGATGCTTGAAGGGAGGCCATCGAAGGTGGAGCCACATCTCATTGTGCCGAGGCCCGCAGAGCCCTTACCGACAGAGACGAGTTGGAGATCTCGGCAGTGTGGGGTACACGAGGAGTGTGTGAGGGTGACTAAGGAGACCGGTGTTGCAGCAACATGCAAATAACAATTGACCAGAGCACGACATGGGCAACATTATGTATTTCACGCACATGTGTTCGGCAAATTGACCGAGAAAAATGTGATCGGCGAGCGCCGTCGTGATGGAATAGCACCAAAATCATTTTGGAACGTACCCCGGTAACTTTTGTATGAACAACATGATAATTTCTGCACTGTAGACCTGATAACTTACGAGCAACATTGTGATAACTTTTGACCTGTGGAAAAGAAGTTGAAGAACCATACCCCCAGTAATATATATGTGAATATCGTGATTATTTACACATCACAGACCCATATCATGATTATTTACACATCACATACCAGATAACTTAAGTACAGCATTATGATAACTTTCATCAGGAAGAAGTTGTAGAAACATACCCCAACAAACTCTTTGTAAAAAGCGTGATAATTTACGTATTGCACAACTGATAATTTACGTAGCCCAGACCTATTAACTTTGGAACAGAAAGATCGTCCTAATTTTGAACGTTTCATCGCGGCGGATTTAATGGGGAAACTATTTTAAATCGGACCGATGGTTTGAGCTACAACATATTTTGAATTTTCAAAATGGGAAAATCTAGCACAATATAGCATTAACTTTTCTCCTCTACTCCATGCATGCATGTGTGTGTGGGAGGACTAGATGAGGTGTTTATAGTTATCCCTAAAAAGTAAAGTTCTCCCATTAGTTTCTATTATGCTAACGTTCACGGGCAGAACACGGCAAATCAAAAAATTCATGAGAATTTATGTTGTCACGAAGATGACAAATTTCTTTAGCAAGCAAGGTAAATCCTTGCAAAAAAAAAACAGAACTAGACATATTATCATCCTTGCGAAAGAAATTAGCCATCCTTCACTAACATAAATTGTCATACAAAACGTTAAATTTGCCACACTCTCCTAGCGAACGTTCGCTGATTATCTTGAACTGATAATTTTGGAAGAGAACACCCGGGTGCCAATTTCTGTGGTGAAAACATCCCGGTGCACTGTTTCTATGAATAAGACGCACCAACCAAACCCAGGTCTGGCTGCTTAGATGTAACGGGTGATGGCACATCGAAATATTTTCAGCCTTGTAGACAGCACGTCAACTTCATACAATTCCGTGTCAGACAACATTGACAAAGTCAAACAGATATTCGGAGAGAAATGGAAGTTGAATTTGACTTTGTGATATTTGATCGAGCAATTGACATCACCACAAAGACGAAAAACTAGAGAGAAAAAATTGAAATACTACAAACAAGCTAAAGGAAAGTCCCTACAGCTAAAACCAAGTAGCATGAAAATGGAAAAATCCACCAAAATTCGATCCAGAGAAGGACCCAAACCAAGTGGTTAGGAGTCCCATGCTACCAAATAAGCAGAGAAGTATTTCCTACCAGACATGAACAACCAGCCGGCCAAAGGTGTCATGTTCGAATTTCCCCTTTTCTGTCGATGTCTCTATATGATCAATTGATCATACATCATGGCAACGCAATCCAGAGACGAGCTCCATTATTGATTACATAGATAAATAGAGTTCTGGCCTGTTTCTGTTGTCCACTATCGATTAGCAAGAATGTTAGCTCGATCCTTCCTCAAGTCTGTCACATTCTTTGTCGCCAATATGTCTCCCGTCCCAACCAAGAGGAGTAGTTAACTTCCTCTTGTAACATCAAATTAAGCCGTCAACATTCGATTGAGAAATCAAATCGCAATGGAGGGCGATCAGCTGAGCAGCCCCCTGGCCGGTCACCACCACAGCATCGACATTGACATCGCGGCGGAGGCGAAATCATCGGACGCCGTCGACGGCGAGGCCGGGCGGAAGTGGCTGCGCAAGCTCACGTCGGCGACTGTGAACAAGGCCGTGATGAGGGACCTCATCGCACGGACGCCCATGCTGTGGTACCTCGCCGAGCGCTCGGGCACCATACTCCGCCCGCGCACCCGCCGCGCCGCGGGCGCCGAGGCGCTCCACGCGGTGCGCGCTGTGGCCATCGGTCCGTTCCACCGCGGCGACCGGGGCCTCCCCTTCCCCGACGACGCCAAGCTCCCGTTCATGCGGTACCTGCAGGACCAGTGCGGGCTCGACGTCGACGCGTACGTGGCGGCGCTGTCGGCGGAGCGCGACCGCCTCCGCGACGAGTTCGCCGACGACGACGCGGACGCGGGGACGGACAAGGCGCTGCTGGACGACGAGGAGAAGTTCCTGCAGATGCTGCTCCTGGACAGCTGCTTCGTCCTCGTCGTGAGCATGATGCTCAGCAAGACTGGCGTCGGCGAGGACGCCGACAGCGCGGCGCGGGCGGCGTCCATCAACCGGGAGTACTTCATACTGCACATGGCCGTGGCGCAGCACGCCGAGCAGATCAAGCTCGACATGCTGGTGCTCGAGAACCAGGTCCCCTTCGCCGCCGTGAAGCTGCTCGTCGCCTCCTGCGGCAGGCTGAAGCTCCGCCACTCCGTCGAGGAGGTGGTACTCGGCTGCTTCGAGGACATCTGCCCGAAGCGGGCGTGCCTCGCCCGCGACGCCGCGGGCGCAGAGTTCCATCACGTCCTGCACCTCTTCCACTGGTCCCGCGTGCCGGCTAACAAATACTGCATCCTCTCGACGCCACTGAAGCTCCTCAAGATCAAGAAGGAGTCGGAGCGGCTGTTCCCCTGCTCCGTGGAGCTGCGGCACTCGGCGGTGTGGTTCCGGCAGGCGGCGGCGTCGACCTGCCAAGGCGACCTCGACATGTCGTTCTGGAGCCGGCCGGCGAGCCCCGTGGCGGTGATGAGCATCCCGTGCTTCCACGTCCACGAGTACAGCGCGGCGGTGCTGTACAACATGCTGGCCTTCGAGATGCGGTTCCACTGGGCGCACGGCGCATGCGTGACGACGCACGTCGCCCGGATGGAGGGACTCGTGCGGTGCCCGCAGGACGCGACGTTTCTGCGCCGGCGAGGTGTCCTTTCCGCCACGCGGCTGACGGACGCGGAACTTGTCTACTTCTTCCGGGAGCTCGGGGCGCAGACAGTCGGCGCGAGGCTGCCGGATGAGTTCGGCGAGATGGTCGACGCGGTGGCGTGCCACCGAAGGCGGCGGGTGAGCTGGTGGTGCGGCGGGTTCGTGCTGCACTTCTTCCCGTCGCCGTGGGTGGCCGTCTCGCTTCTCGCGGCGGCCGCAATTTTCGCCGTGCCGTCCATGCTGCAGACGGTGTATACCATGCTCGGCTATATCGAAAGTACTGCTAGTTAAAAGATTCAGAAATAGCCCCCAAGAGAGCATTGTTGGTTCAGAATACTCGATAGGATTTTCTGTTTTTCCTTAGGGTTTGGACCCGATAAATTCCGAACGTCCAGATTTTAAGCATGTCATCGAACGTTCTTCCATTGCAACTTTAGTTAGACCAAGGTGGCAACTTTAGTTGCTACAACATGGCAACTTTGCCCCAGTTCATTTTTGTATCAGAAAATTGTCATGTTTGTTAACCTAGCGTGAACTAAAGTTATCATAAAAACGTTCAGGTTGCCATGCTTAAAATTCGAACGTTGAGGATTTGTCATTTCCGTAGTTTTTTCGGACTCAGATGGTACACCTTTTGCTTCATTTGAATCTTCTGAAATGCTCATTTTTCTTAGCATTGCTATACACACGACACTTGAACGATTTATGCATGATCGTACTGATAGAATCGTACATACGGTGGACAAAATGAAGGCCGGTCGCTAGATCAAGCATCGTGCAATGTTCGGCTACCATGCATCGGCAGGTTAGTAGTTCCCTTTATTTTTTATATCTCCTAAATGCTCATATGAACATCTACAACGGGACGCCCTATACATAATAAAAAACGCCTGGACCCGTTGTTTGGTCACTGTTTGGACCGAAAACTAGCACCCAGTTGGGCTCCCCATAAGCAGACCAAACGTCAGGGCTATCCAGCAATCCACATATTCAGCCCATATTTGGGCGGATATAGGGACTCGGACGTGTCCGAAACCGGTGTCACGTTGGACCGGCCCGCCAAGGTCCGCGCCGCCCCACCACTGTCCCCACAAAACCCCCAGCCGACGAACCCTAGCCCCACTCTTCTCGCCCGCTCCGCTCCTCTCCAATCTCTTCCCCTTCATATCTGCAATTTGTCTCATCCCCTCTGCCATGGCTCGTCGAGCTCATCCAACGAGGAGGAGCTCGCGCTCCGCATTGCTCTCTGCCACTCGCGGATGGGCCAGGGAGGGAGCTCCACATCCTCGGCATCGTGACCGTCGTGGGTGGGCAGCTCCTACCTGTCTGACTCTATCTCGGTGAAAATTTTGTTGAGCTCCGTGTCGCACGGCGGAGGAAGCGGCGTTTGGCCTCCACCTAGGCCTCTGACTAGATGGAGTCGAGGATGGCATGCTGCTCCGCCGCCTACTGTACTTGGGCCACCTCGAACTCCGTCATGGCGTCGACCATGCCAAAGCCCATAGCCGAAGCGCCAGATCCTCCTCGCCCACGTCATTTTCCTCCTCCTACGGCTCTGCGTTCACCATGCTCATGTCCTGCTCCACCTCCTTCTCCTCCTCGTCCGACTTCGGCGAGTCCGAAGGGAGGCCAGTAGTGATCTGGGCTTCGCTCTTAGGAGGTTCGCAACCCCTGCTCCACCCACCATCACAAAGGAGGTTCACAACACTACCACCGCATTCGGCCTCGAGCCTATGGTCGACCTCCACAACACCACGACGGCCATCGGGGTAGCCACATGTGGTAACGGTGACAAATTCCACGCCCTCAACATTCCTGTGATGGTTAGCATCAGCCCGCGGCCCCACATCCAGGCTCCATTCCCCAAGTCTGAAGTGTCGCCTCAGTCTCTCGAAGGTGCTCATAGGATAGGTTGTGTGTGTGTCCGTTCATAGGGGTGACTGTATTCTCGTGTGTGTGAGTGACTCTGATTGTACTGTGTTAAAAAAAGCACTCGTCGCATTGTTGTTGCAAGATTGGATGGTACGCACTTGTGGCGGCCACTCCAGACGTCGCCATCAAGCTTGTCGTCCTCCCAGGCGTCTCCTTTCCCACCAAGGCCCATGAGGTCCTTGATCTACCCTGTGATGTGTCCCCTGTCTACATTGGCATGGCGTTTTTGACCTGTTCGACGAAATGCTCCAACCAAGTCAGTGCCACTTTGTTCCCATCTCCAGTCACGACGATATTGCTACTCTAAGATGCCACAAGAGCGCTTGTCCGACCTCGTTTGTCCTGCTACCAATGTTGTCGCTTCGATGCAGCCATTCCAGGATCATGACTTGGATGTCTCGCCGCCTGAGGGAGTCCTGGATTAAGGGGTCCTCGGACGGCCGGACTATGTGACATGGGCCGGACTGTTAGGCTATGAAGATACAAGACATAAGACTGTTGGGGAACGTAGTAATTTCAAAAAAAAATCCTACGCACACGCAAGATCATGGTGATGCATAGCAACAAGAGGGGAGACTGTGTCCACGTACCCTCGTAGACCGAAAGCGAAAGCGTTAGAACAACGCGGTTGATGTAGTCGTACGTCTTCACGGCCCGATTGATCAAGCACCGAAACTACGACACTTCCGAGTTCTAGCACACGTTCAGCTCGATGACGTCCCTCGAACTCCGATCCAGCCGAGTGTCGAGGGAGAGTTCCGTCAGCACGACGGTGTGGTGACGATCTTGATGTTCTACCGTCGCAGGGCTTCGCCTAAGCACCGCTACAATATTATTGAGGAGGACTATGGTGGAGGGGGGCACCGCACACGGCTAAGAGATCAAGAGATCAATTGTTCTGTCTAGAGGTGCGCCCCGCCCCCATATATAAAGGAGCAAGGGGGGAGGGGGCGGCCGGCCAGGGAGGAGGCACGCCAAGGGGAGTCCTACTCCTTCCGGGAGTAGGACTCCCTCCTTCCTTGTTGGACTTGGAGAAGGGGGGAAAGAGGAGGGAGAGAGAGGAAGGAAAGGGGGGCGCCGCCCCCCTCTCCTTGTCCTATTAGGACTAGGGGAAGGGGCACGCGGCCCTGCCCTGGCCTCCTCTCCTCTTCTCCACTAAGGCCCACTATGGCCGATTAAGCCCCCAGGGGGTTCCGGTAACCTCCCGGTACTCAGGTAAAATCCTGATTTCACCCAGAACACTTCCGATATCCAAATATAGGCTTCCAATATATCAATCTTCATGTCTCGACCATTTCGAGACTCCTCGTCATGTCCGTAATCATATCCGAGACTCCGAACAACCTTCGATACATCAAAACTCATAAACTCATAATGTAACTGTCATCGAAACCTTAAGCGTGCGGACCCTACAGGTTCGAAAACTATGTAGACATGACCTAGACACGTTTCCGATCAATAACCAATAACGGAACCTGGATGCTCATATTGGCTCCTACATATTCTACGAAGATCTTTATCGGTCAAATCGCATAACAACATACGTTGTTCCCTTTGTCATCGATATGTTACTTGCCCGAGATTCGATCGTTGGTATCTCAATACCTAGTTCAATCTCGTTACCGGCAAGTCTCTTTACTCGTTGCGTAATACATCATCTCACAACTAACTCATTACTTGCAATGCTTGCAAGGCTTAAGTGATGTGCATTACCGAGTGGGCCCAGAGATACCTCTCCGACAATCGGAGTGACAAATCCTAATCTTGAAATATGCCAACCTAACAAGTACCTTCGGCGACACCTGTAGAGCACCTTTATAATCACCCAGTTATGTTGTGACGTTTGGTAGCACACAAAGTGTTCCTCCGGTAAACGGGAGTTGCATAATCTCATAGTCATAGGAACATGTATAAGTCATGAAGAAAGCAATAGCAACATACTAAATGATCAAGTGCTAAGCTAACGGAATGGGTCAAGTCAATTACATCATTCTCCTAATGATGTGATCCCGTTAATCAAATGACAACTCATGTCTATGGTTAGGAAACTTAACCATCTTTGATCAACGAGCTAGTCAAGTAGAGACATACTAGTGACACTATGTTTGTCTATGTATTCACACATGTATCAAGTTTCCGGTTAATACAATTCTAGCATGAATAATAAACATTTATCATGAAATAAGGAAATAAATAATAACTTTATTATTGCCTCTAGGGCATATTTCCTTCAGTCTCCCACTTGCACTAGAGTCAATAATCTAGTTCACATCATCATGTGATTTAACACCAATATTCACATCTGTATGTGATTAACACCCATAGTTCACATCGTCATGTGACCAACACCCAAAAGGTTTACTAGAGTCAATAATCTAGTTCACATCGTTATGTGATTAACACCCAAAGAGTACTAAGGTATGATCATGTTTTGCTCATGAGAGAAGTTTAGTCAATGGGTCTGTCACATTCAGAGCCGTATGTATTTTGTAAATATTCAATGTCTACAATGCTCTACATGGAGCTACTCTAGCTAATTGCTCCCACTTTCAATATGTATCCAGATTGAGACTTAGAGTCATCTGGATCGGTGTAAAAAGCTTGCATCGATGTAACTTTTACCACGAGCTCTTTTTTCACCTCCATAATCGAGAAATATTTCCTTAGTCCTCACTAAGGATATTTTTGACCGTTGTCCAGTGATCTACTCCTAGATCAAAATTTTACTCCCTTGCCAAACTTAGAGCAAGGTATACAATAGGTCTGGTACACAGCATAGCATACTTTATAGAACCTATGACTGAGGCATAGGGAATGACTTTTCATTCTCTTTCTATTTTCTGCCGTGGTCGGGCTTTGAGTCTTACTCAACTTCACACCTTGCAACACAGGCAAGAACTCCTTATTTGACTGTTCTACTTTGAACTACTTCAAAATCTTATCAAGGTATGTACTCATTGAAAAATCTTATCAAGCGTCTTGATCTATCTCTATAGATCTTGATGCTCAATGTGTAAGAAGCTTCACCGAGGTCTTTCTTTGAAAAACTCTTATTCAAGTATCCTTTTATGCTATCCAGAATTTCTATATCATTTCCAATCAACAATATGTCATCTACATATAGTTTTAGAAATGCTACAGAGCTCCCACTCACTTTCTTGTAAATACAGGCTTCTCTAAAAGTCTGTATAAAACCATATGCTTTGATCAACTCATCAAAGCGTATATTCCAACTCCGAGATGCTTGTACCAGTCCATAGATGGATCGTTGGAGCTTACCTTTAGGATTGACAAAACCTTCTGGTTGCATCATATACAACTCTTCTTTAATAAATCCATTAAGGAATGCAGTTTTGACA